GGTCAGGGTTATGGGACATCAAGATTGAAGGGGCTTAATACAATAATAATAAGCCTCAAGCCTCTTATTGTAATCCACCATAAGATAAACAAAGACAGAGGAGAGGAGGAGGATGTATTCCAGCATTAATTCTCTTATGCATGCCAAAATAAATCAAATATTACTGTGTGTGTGTGTGTGTGTATATATATATATATATATATATATATATATATATATATATATATACACATACATACATACACACACACAACAGTTATTTTACATTTTGTTTAAACTGTAAATATTTAACACTACATTTTTTTGTGTTTTTTGATCAAATAAATGCAGCCTTGGTGAGCATAAGAGATATTTTAAAAACGTTTTAAAATCTTAACAACCCCAAACGTTTGAACAGTATACATGTACACGAATGAAATAACATTCACAAATCTTAATCCATGATGATTTTCCGTTCAGGTGCTGGTGAGTCGGGTAAAAGCACAATTGTCAAACAGATGAAGTAAGTACTAAGAAAACAAAAGTATTACATGAGACTATCCTCATTAATGATTCTCGTTCAGTCCTCTTTAATGTCATAACCAACAAATAACTTCATCAATTAATTGGCAATTATTTTCCATTACAGAATTATTCACCAAGATGGTTACTCCCTTGAAGAGTCTATGGAGTTCGTTGTCATCATCTACAGCAACACTCTGCAGTCTATCCTGGCCGTTGTGAAGGCCATGACCACATTAAACATTTCCTATGGAGACGCTTCTTCACAGGTGCTCTACAGCATTTATTAGTCATTTATATAAATAAATGGGTTAAAGTATGAAATATACCGTTGGTGATACCATGACACAATGTTGATATCAGATGGTAAGACCATCAATAGGCTACTGAATGATATCCCATGGTAGACCTTGGTTATTTCAGGTATCATATTAACACTGTACAGTACATGTCTAAAACACCATGGTATTGTTCATCCTCCTTGTGCAAAAATATATCAGTTGAGTTTAACTACTGTGTACTTTACATCTAAACAAGATGTTTGTAACGTTACACCATAGGATACCAAACTTTCATTTGAAAGTAGCCTACGTGTCTAGTGAAACGTATTTTTCATCTTAAAATATATATAAATTACGTTATTTTGTCCTCAATTAAAAATGCAGTCCAATTAGTTCATGCGTTCATGACATCAAGGGGTGGCCCTGCACGCTTAATAAACAACTACAGCTAGTCCAAAATGCAGCTGCTAGAGTTTTTACCAGAACCAGGAAGCATGACCATATTAGCCCTGTTCTGTCAACACTGCATTGCCTCCCTATTTAACATTGTATCAATTGTAAAATATTGCGGATTACTTACAAAGCACTAAATGGTTTAGCTCCCCAGTACTTGAGCGAGCTCTTATCGCATTATAGTCCTTCACGTCTATTGCGATCTCAAAATTCCGGCCAGTTGATACCTAGAATATCAAAATCAACTGCTGGCGGGAGATCCTTTTCCTATTTATCACCAAAACTCTGGAACAATCTTCCTAACATTTTCCGAGAAGCAGACCCAGTCTGTCAGTTCAAATCTAGACTAAAGACATATCTCTTTGACCTATGCTGTACTGCAAAAGACTTTGGTATATGTTATTTTACAGTGCGTGCACTTTCAATGCACTCACAGTGTACTTACCCACGAAAGTACTGTGTAATACTGGGTAAGTTCGGTCGTTGTCCTGAGAGAGAGTGAGACGCTGTCCTGTAGAATTTAGTTCCAACCCTAATCAAACACACCTGAACAAGCTAATCAATAAAGCCATTCACCTTTGGCTAAGCCACGCCCTAGAATGTAGATTGACCAATCACAGCCCAGCCAAGAACCAGCTCCCACAGAGGTCCGACACTTTTTTACTGCGCTATATTGACTTTCAACACAGGCGTCTCATATTTTTGGTCTCGGCAGGCTATTACCGTCGAAGTTTTATCCTAAGTATGGTTAAACGTTGTGCCACAGGCATTTGTAACACAGATACGCGTTTCCCAGAGAGGTTGGAGGGGGGTGTCTGTTTTTTCCCTTCCCAAAACCGAAGTAAAATCCTGACAGTGACCAGTGTCGTGTTTGGATTACACTGTGACTGTATGGACGTCCTCAGTCAGCTAAACCCCGCAAAGATCAACAAGCACATCTTTTTTTTTTTTTTTACTTCTAACCTTACTTTGAGTGTGAAGTTATACTAGTTAGACCGTTTTATGTTTTAGGTTATGATTTCGGTTCTCTGGACTGAACCAAATACATAATAATGAGGGGATCACAAGACAGACATGAACAAGACATGAACCCACACCGTGACAATAATGAAAGCATATTTGTAAGATTATACAACAAAAGAGAATTGTACATAATAACTGAAGGATTTATAAAATTAGACTATTAGGAGATTATACATCTGAGACTATTAAAAGAAAGAGACTATGAAATCATGAAGGGTTATATTTTTAGATTCAACTGTTTTTTATCTGTTTGTTGCAGGATGACGGAAGGAAGCTGATGCACTTAGCGGACACCATTGAGGAAGGCACCATGCCCAAGGAGCTGTCAGACATCATCCTGAGGTTGTGGAAGGACTCGGGCATCCAGGCGTGCTTTGACAGAGCCTCCGAATACCAGCTCAACGACTCTGCTGGATAGTATGGACCTCGAATTAGTCTTTTTAAAGCATTAAATACCTTTAAGTTAGCAAGGCTTTAATGTCCATGGTCAAATGATCTTTGAATTAATAAACATAGGGAAATATTGTATTGATTCTCTTACTCTATCTCCAAGCTATCTGAGTGACCTGGAGAGGTTGATCCAGCCTGGCTATATCCCTACTGAGCAGGACGTCCTGCGATCAAGAGTGAAGACCACTGGTATCATCGAGACCATGTTCGGATTAAAGGATCTCAACTTCAGGTACTCTAAACAAAGTCACCTAAAATACAAAGAGCCTTCATAACAATGGCCCAATGACCATCATCATCTAGGGAATTAAAGCAAGAACAAATAAGTTTAACAATGTAAAAGTTTCAAGAACAATTGAGCAAGATAAGCTTGAATGGACACCAAAGCCATGTTAACTGGTGTTGGTCTGCAGGATGTTTGATGTGGGCGGTCAGCGCTCTGAGAGGAAGAAGTGGATCCATTGCTTTGAGGGTGTGACCTGTATCATCTTCATCGCTGCACTGAGCGCATACGACATGGTGCTGGTGGAGGACGATGAAGTGGTAGGTTGCCATTTGTGATCCAAGAATGAAACATGAACTACAGTATTACTTTGGTGCATTTTAGCAAACTGTTTATCTTGTCCTTTCAATCGAAGAACCGAATGCATGAGAGTCTCCACCTGTTCAACAGCATCTGTAACCACCGTTACTTTGCCACCACATCCATTGTACTCTTCCTCAACAAAAAGGATGTCTTTCTGGAGAAGATCAAGAAAGCTCATCTGAGCATGTGCTTCCCTGATTATGATGGTGAGACCTCAAAATCAAAAACTTGAATCTTTAACATAAATGTTCTTAAAATTGCCATTAAAACAGACAATTTAACTCTGAATATCAATACATCTTCTGTGAGGATTCATCATGGAACAAAACCAAATGTCAAAATGAGTCTTCTTTTTCGGTGATATGATATGCAAAACTACGCTAAAAATATAATGCATGCCTCTGTCAGGTCCCAACACCTTTGAGGATGCTGGTAACTACATCAAGCTGCAGTTCTTAGATCTGAACTTGCGACGAGATATCAAAGAAATCTACTCCCACATGACCTGTGCCACAGACACAGAGAACGTCAAGTTTGTGTTCGATGCCGTAACAGACATTATCATCAAAGAAAATCTCAAAGACTGCGGTCTCTTCTAAACAAGCCATTTGTGAGAAGAGGTGAATATAATACAATATAATATATTAACAGCATAGTAAATAAGTAATGTATTATTGTTTTATAGCACATCAAATATGAGCACAATTTCTATAAGTGTGGATTTAAATATCTCTTCTTTTGCAGAGTGGATTAATCAACAAAATCCAATACAGACCCATTGCCCCTCGTTTTCCTCCCTGGGTAATGTGGATTTACCCAATGCTCGCACACATAACCATACGAGAAAACACACACACACACACACACACAGGAGTTGAATTGATAGCATCTGGAATAAGAAATTATATTGTTATACATTTGATTAAACACTGCATTTAAATAAATATCAGAGCCTAAAACATATTCATAGGAGCAAGTCATATATAACAACACATGCAGCATCCTCCTTCTTGAAGACCCGGCTCTTATAAGGGTGTTTGGTCCTATTAGTTTTTCGCAGTGATTTACCCAGTAGATTTGAAACTACATGCAGCTGCAAACAAAATAACTAAACTTTTGAAACACCTGCATATGCACTTCAGCATGATGTTTTGCAAGAGCACATTATGAAGTCCAGAGAGTATTTCAGTTATACGTTATAGCAGTTACTAACTGTGTGAAGTTCATACTTTTAAGCAGATTGAGAAAACTTTACTGGGATGCAATGTTCTGTGTTATTTACAGAGGAGCTATATCCATGTTATGTCCCATTTTCCAAATCTTTATGTAAGATGGATAACTTTGATGAAAAGATAGCTTGTAATAATATTGCAATAAGATGCTTAGCTCAGGAGCACAGTTAGTTAGCTGTGAGACAAAGAACGGTTTTTGAGTGCATTGATTAAATTACAACAGCGAAAATTGATTAAAAGGGCACAATTGTCTGAAAACCCAGAAACAACCATGTAAATGTAAAGTGAACGAATAAAGCTTCAGTAGAAAAGACTGAACCTGATGTATTTGTTTTTCAAGGATCTGGCAGACACGATATTTAGTATAGCCTACACCTTTTTACAAGATGTAAAATAAGTCTCTAACGCCCCCAAGGATGTGTATGTGAAGTTTTAACTGAAAATACCCCACAGATAATTTACGAGCACAACCTGCAAAAGTAAAGCTTTTATTAATAAGGTTTATTAATGAATCTGTTCCAATGGCTTTGCATTACAGTGTTATAAATATTCAAAGCATTTTTACAGTTTCAATTACGTTTAATAGAATGATTTTACAGTAGCACACACTGATTCTATCTCGTGCCTTTTGCAATTTCAACTCAATCAAGTTAAGACTCTTAAACGGTTTTGCCAAGTCATGGTTTTAATTTCGATTTAATAAAATACACCGTGTAGACATCCACCTTTGTCTCTTTAAATCACCATAAAATCAACAAGCCGATCAATATTATTCTAGTCAACTTTAATTCGAATACTTGTTTTTGATAAAACAAATCAGAATAAATATCAACCCCTAATTACTGAGAGTATCCTCCATACGTACCCCAAGGAAATAATCTATATTACCGAAGAAATTAATCCTTCTCTCAGTCTCAACAGCACAATGATCATTCTCAGAATCCCTTATTTTCGACTTTTGTTCAGAAAACATATGCACCGACATCGAAGCATTAAAAGAGAAAATGTTAACAATGTTACTGACACATTACATGCATATCACCTCTTGAGTGACTGCATCATGGCAAATTACTGATCCTGAGGACTGAAGAAAAATGAACTTTGTTAAAGGCACAAGTTTTTGTAAAATGTTGTAATATTTGGTCCAAAAACATTTTTGGATTTTTAATGCATGTAATTATTTTCTTGTTTGTTTAAACACAAAATAGAAGAGTGGAGACTAATTACTAGACCTAATTGAGCAAGAATCTACACAACTTCCTCGACCAGCTGTGCAAAATGTAACAAATTATGAGGTTTGTTCTGTCAAAATACACGAATGAGTGAAGATTTCAAACTTACCAAATATGTATGCTACATAACAAAACCTTTCCAATTTTATCACAATACACTGACCGAAACATCTGAATGGGTACAGTTGGAAATATGGAATCATGCAAATAAACAAACAAAAAAAGAATAGGCCACAGTGTTCTATACCTTGCAAACCAAGGCACAAAATTAACAATGAAGAATGTGTCAAATTGCAAAGTCATCAGATAGCAGTTTGATTTATATAAATGAAGCCAATCTGTTCGTGTTCCTGAAGGACATATACTGGATAAACAACTGTTTTCTAGTATAAAGCTTATTTGAATGTTTGTTCCTTGAGAAGGAAATTGAAACATGCATACCATCTGTCAACCCATTAGAGCCCTTAATAATACTAGGTCAAGTTTCATTAAACATGGCACTGAAGAAAACGTGTAACACACTGTTGCACAATGCAGAAGGCGATCAGCCTTAGGAATCTAAAACAGTTTTGTGATTGATTTTACGATTCTGTAGCCAAACTTCCCTGAATGAGCTTTTTTTTTAATGCTGTGGACTTTGCTGGCTGGAGTATGTAACCAAACCCAAACACCTGGTCCAACTTAAGAATGACACTTTTCATGCCAAATATATATACACTCACAACACAACAAAACATTCTGGTTGATTTGTTGACCAAATACCTTGCCACTCCATGTGAAAAAAAAAAGAGACTGCAAAGTTCTCTGATGGGAGAGTTATTGTACCCCTCCAGGGGGTTTGTAAGTGTTGAGACCTCCAGGGAGCAGAACGGATGTCAGGACAGCCCCACCATGTGGTCGATTTGCCTCATGTACATGCTCTTTAGAGGAAGCCCATAACGTCTCTCTTCGGAAATTCTTTCACACTGTTGGACAAATGAAAAGGACATTCTTATTTCTGTGACCAGAAAAAAAAACAACAAAGCTGGTAGGGGCTAATTGTAATTTTAATAATTAAAAAGGAATATAAATTTAAGGGGTCAAATGATCTTTTGACATATACGAGATCTTCGTACCATTAAAAACATCCTGCCATTTTTGGAGCTTAAAATGTCCTCAGTACAAACAAAGCATTTATCAAGCTCCAAAAACAACTTGTTTTGATATTGCAAGATCTGTGACATCCCACATACATTTGTATATGACTGCCTCCAGAGCAAGACATAAACAAATATACATATACAAATATAGGCCCGCACATTGACATTCAGTGCGCTAAACTAATCACATGTCTTAGCGCCATCTACTGTTTTAGAATAGGAAGCTGCTCAACTGCATTTGTGAGAAAATCTTGAGAGATCTCATAAAAAGCCAAGTGTCTCACAATCATAACAGACATATATGCATTTGTCTGCACTAGATTTGGTATTTGTTCAAAGGTTACATGCATTTTGTAGAATGGTTTGTATTTATTCGTGAAATATTATCTAGGCTCATTTATTTATTTGCTCATTTAGCATATTTGTTACTCCACTGCATTTTCACTCAAATTGACCTTTGTACGAGTCGAGTTTTCCCTTTACAAAGCAGATCTAGTTTGTTTGCAAAATGCTGTATTTGTTTGTTTTAATTATAGCACAATATTAACTTCATTTTAAAAAAGACTGATTAAAGACGTAATGACTCAAAAGATTCATTGAGATCAAAGAATCACTGAGATTGCCACTATAATATATATTCATAAATGGGATGACAGCTGATGTTTATTAAACCAATTACTTACGTTGCTCGTGTTGGCTGGGGACTCTTTGGCAGGCTCTTCACATGGGAATTGCTCTTCCCAACTTTTCTCCCTGAAGCGTTGATCTATCGGCACTACATGGCCTTCTGTAGTGAAGATGTACTTATTCTCAGACTTGTGCAGTGGGTTGTCTTCATCAAAGAGCTGTAAAGAATTGTCAAATATAATTTAGTGATTGACATGGCAGCAGCATAAAATTTGACTGTTTTTAAAATCCTAGATAAGTGAGAATATAACATTTTAAAAAGAGAGAGCATATAGAAACAGAAAACTAACCAAAAAAAGGTATTTGCAGGTTTCACTGAGGAAGAAACTCTCCATGCGATCTTCTTTGGACTTATCCACCACATGATGGAGAGTGGCATAACCACACCTGAGAAGCAGTCAAACAAAACATCTGTCTTGAGAACACACCAGCATCCCAATCAAATCACTTCCTGGACATTTTAATCCACTTACCTAACTTTGGTATTTTTTTCAAGGCTTTCAAGGATGTCCATCCCAACATGAAGATAAAAAGGATTCTTGGTTGCCTGTAGAAAGTCAAGTTCATCGTTAATTGTACTGTAATGCTGCAGTCTAAAAACCTGGTTATAATCCAAAAAGAGCAGTTAGAAAAGGTTTGTACCTGATATAGCAGGTATGTGGATTCCACTAGTTCAGGTCTTAAAGGGTAGAAGAGGACATCTGGGGCCTGAAGCTGCCAGTTGTATCTCTCAGGAAGAGCCCCGAAACGCTTCCAGATTGCATAGTAGAAGGCATGAAGGCAAATGGCGTTTTCAACATCTCCATTCAAAACCTGAGCAACAGAAATGTGTGCACCTGGTTAATGAACAATGAAAAAAGGCAATCAGCAGGTCATGATGTTCATGAAAATAGGCTAAAGGAACAAGAAGGTTGTCACGTTGGTTTTGTTGACGGAAGGTAGCCTATTTTTAGGCGCTGCATTATATCATTACGCCTGCTGCACTCATGGTACGGCAGTAAAGTTTCTTGATTATTACGCAGGAATGAGAGTATAGTTCCTAGCCATATTAGCCTAGAAAAATCGCAACTTTACATTTTCTGTCGGTCTAAGTGCACAGTGTAACTACAGAAGAGTCAAGTTTTAAATAGAAATAAATATCAAAACTCTTTGGTCATTTTTTTTTTTTTTTTGAGAAATGCTAATGGTCTTGTCCACTTAAATGATGTATGCTAAGCTATGCTAAAAGTGGTACTGCCAGTGGTACTGCGGAGATCAGCTGAATGGATTCAAAAACGTTAAAACTCAACAGTCCAACTCTGGCTACAGTACAACTTTTTTTTTCTTTTTTTTTTTTTTGGAAATGGCCAATCGTTTTGCTACATAAGACCATATTCCTCAGCTAGGAACGTGCAGAGCCCTTTGAAGCTCTTCATAACCCAGTGAAACTGCAATTGAAATCCATTGTGTGGAGAAAAATCCTGAAATGTTTTCCCCAAAAAATTAATTTCTTTTTCACTAAAGAAAGACATAAACATCTTGGATGGCATTTGGGTGAGTAAATTAACAGGAAATTTTCATTTTGAGGTGAACTAATCCTTTAAGAACTAAGGCTAGACTGCATTTAGAATGTACTGGAATTAGATTATATAAAGATAATAGAGAGATTGAATGAGAGAAGCAGGAGACAATTAGAAAATGTTTTAGACCTGTAGTCCAGGGAAGAATGCCTGCAGGGAGTCAATCCATGTGTTCATGATCTGCCCATTAAACATGTTCACATTCACATACAGTGGTGGGTCACCCTCCCCTTCATTACACGCCTCTCTTCTGTAAAAAAAAAAGTGCACAATTAGAACCAGGATGTGTCAGCAAAAGCATTACAGTAGTTTAATAAGAAACCATTAATGCACACCCTGAGGTGTGAGGTGAAAGTATCATGCTAAAACTTCTGCATATCTGTGTAGTAATAGAAAATGAAAAACCATGAAATGTCAGTCTAGACCTAAACCAATCTGAATAACACATTCAAATCCAAGAATGGTTGTAATAAACTAACTTGCAAACAATACACTCTTTGGCTGCAAACCATGCCAAACAACCAAAGATTCCAAGTGACACACTTTATCTGCAGGTGGTTCGACAACCAAATGCACTCATTTGGTCTTTGGAAGCTCAAACTGCAGCCACAGGCAGCTGTGGTCACACTCACACAAGCACATGTTTATAATCACCCTCTTCTCAGGTGACTCTGAATGCTCTCGTAAGCTGCAGAGAACATCATGTAATCTTCCTTCTCTCCAAATAAGATGTAAGACTTAAGGAGGTACTCATAGAATGAGTCCATGCCGGCACCAAGACCGCTCTGCTTCCCCACCCACTGACCAGTCTGAATGTTCACCACATTCCCTGGAAAGGGGGGAAAAAAAAGGATCATCACTGGTTAGAAAGACATGTGATCACAAATTAAAGATACTGGATCCAAAAACAAAAAAAAGGTCTGTAGTTATTGTTTAAGGAAGGACTATGGCTACGTTCACACTGCAAGCCTTAATGTTAAATTTAGGAAGTAAACAGAGGTTACTGAAGTCAGGATTTACACATTCTTTTATAATGCGTTTTGTGCTAAGAAAGCCAGTGAATTTGTGCGCAGGTGAAAAGGAGAACACAGGTGAGGAAGAGAGCAAAGTTTTTCTCATATAGTTATAATCTTCCATATTCACTGTGACCACTGTGACCTGTGACCAAACAAATAGCGGTATGTAGAATCATAGGAGTGACGAATGTTGATCTAGAGTGACAAATGTTGCATGACTGACTTTTCAGACTGATGTCGCATTGCAAAACATCATACCCGTATCTGATTAGGACCCAATATGGAAGTGACCCAAATCACAATCAAAAAGGTTCGACTCCATGTGGTTTGTGCTGTTCACAGTTGTAAAAAAAAAAAAGATCTGTCTCACATAAGTAAAAAACAAACAAAAAAATCGAATTTGGGCCACTTTTGCAGTCTGAATGTACCTTAAAACACATAAAAAAATGCAACCACTTACCCAACAGCCCAGTTTCATTGCTTCTCAAGTTCCACAGAGCTTTAACAGCCCGCCGGGCGACCCATTCAAATGTGGAGTCGCCAATCAAACGGCTAAGAATGCCAAACTCCACGAGCAGAGAACCCGCCCCTGCCGTACACGTCTCATTAATGCTGTCAGGAGGGACACCTTTCTTTAAATTCACCTGCACAAAACCATGGTAAGATACAAATGCCAAATGCAGCAAAAACTAGGCCATGTCTACAGTATGTACGTGGTGCTGACCCTGGGATAGGGGATGCCTGTGCCAGTGTTCTCAAAGGCAGGTAGCAGTCGAACAGCCAGGTCATGTGCCAGGTGCAGCAGCTCATTGTCATAGTCCTTTAGCTCTATGTCCCCAAAAGGATGCAGTGGGTCAGTCAGCAGAATATGGGATGAGATCAAACTGCCAAGGATTCTGCAAAGGGAACATTTATTTTATTTACTTCCTGGTTAACAAAAAAGATGCTGTTTTGAACACAATTTTCACTTTATTTTACAGTATGAATGGAACCTTAGCAGATTAGCCTAATTATTATTGTCAAACGACAGTGCTCTATAAAAAAAAAATCATTCACTGAACACAAAAGGAGAATGTTCACACTTCTTATTACCATACAATGGTTGAATGCCAATGGAATGGGAACGGATAGGATTTCTTTATAAACTAAATGACTAGTGAGGGTGTCGACAAACTGAATAAAAGAGTGAAATACTGCACCTAATGTTAGCCTCAAAGACTTGAACAGTGGAGTCCTTATCAAAAGACACCGTCTCAATCACCAGTTTAACAGCTCGATGAAACTCTGTCACATTTCCAAGCACCTGCAGAAATGGAAAAAAAAACATGGGAGTACATTATGCATCAATGTACATACTTATGACTACTGAATTAAGCGGAATTCTTGAGATTAAAATAGTCCTGGAATAAGACACACAGTTTGTTCAGGTGAGGCCATACATCTGTTGATATAGATTTTTTTTTGTTTGTTTGTTTTCTAGATAACTGAAAGTTAATTGTAAGTGCAGATAAATTCAAGGCTGTTTACTGGGACACATAAAACAGCTATTCCCTCTTTCTCTTCTCATGTAGTGGATAAATAATGGGCATTTTCATGAAACATGAGCAGAACTAATTTTATCAACAGTTTCTGTGTAATTTGTGTTGTAGAATAAAATGTGAAAGTCTCTAAGTAATACAAATATTACTTTTTTTTTTTTACTTATAAATCATAAACCAGCATCTATGGGAGGGAACTCATGGCTCAAAAATGCTAAATCTGTGCTGGATTTTAGGACTATAAACAGAACGGCTCACATTATTTTATTTTTAGAAGAATATACTATTGAGCAGTTCAGCTGATTTTTGTTGCAAAACTAGTCCAAATCACAAAACATAATTTACTAATAGTATGAAAGACAAAAAAAAAATACTTACACTAGAAGATACACAACTACATACACTTTCATTTTCTACAATTATAAGAGAACTAATTAACTAACTAATAAAGAACTGAGCATTACAGCTAAACCAATGTCCTCATTTTAAAAACAGAGCCTTACAAGGAAACAAAATATGAAATAAAAAAGAATGGCAGACATGTGGCAAATAACAAGTGGCGAAGATAAAAATCTGTCATTATTTTCTTTGTTATTATTAAAAAATAAGAACAAAGTTACACATTTCATATACATTAACAAACATATAGCATGTTTACTATTTGGCTACTGTCACTTTAGGACCGGCACGGCACGCATCTAATAAACAAGCATACAGTATGAAACACACTCAATCTTCTCTCAAATGTTTTCTTTCACTTTAGACATAATCAACTGTGTTTATGTAATCCTTATGTGTATTTGACAGTATTAGCTCAATATGACTCAAAAGATAACTTAGTCCAGGATACAGGCACTGTTTGACAGGCTTTTAGTGCCTGTGAGATTCATGTATGCCCTCAGAACAGCACATGTTAGAACAGTTGAACAACGTGTGAATGAAATGTTTAACTGGCAAGTGTAATGGATTTTTTTTCCCTGAACCTGACTACCCTACAATAATACTCACTCTAGTCGGTCAAGTCTTATACTTTTACCCTAGCGCGTCTACAGTCGACTGAGCACTAAACCTACCCTATACCCTAGCGCGTCTACAGTCGATGTCGGTCGGGTGCTAATCCTATAACCCTAGCACGTCTACAGTCGACGTCGGCCGGGTGCTAATGCTGCACAGCTTAAATAACAGACAGACCCCAGCAAATGTCCTTTCAATGCTTTTAATTACAGCCAGGAGAGTTCTCGAGAAATACTCAGAGAATCCCCCAAGTTAAAACAAGACCGTTGGATCTCAGACAATTTCCATTGAGAGTCTGAAAACACTGATACAACAGTTTTTATACAATAGGGAGGTTTGTCAAATGACATTAATATGATTGGTTCTTCACTTACAGTCTCTTCTGTTACTGGGTAGAGGAGACTTTGTTTTAATGATTACTTCATTGATGACAAATTCTAACTTAGTCATCTGTCTAGTTCCATTTCCTATATGTCAGTCAGGCATTTGACACACATACATTCATCTAAAGTACAGAATGTCTTAGTACACATTGTCTCAGAGATTTAGCAGGTGAAATGAGGTCAAATGTTAAAACATGGTTAGCTTAATATTCAGTCTAAAATTTTCCACCACACAAGGCTTTAAAGCACATGCAAATAATGAACTTTTGTGAATTGCAGTATCCCGTGAGTGTAAGTCAACCTCTGCTTTAATATGTGATCGTGTGAAAGTACGTTGCGTGTACAGTATGTTGAGATGGAGGCACCAGAAATGCACCAGATAGAATGCACTGTAGCACATTACTATGATATTTAAGAGGCCAACTTACCAACAGCGTATCAAGAGCATCGATGAGGGTCAAGGAGTAGTTTCCAAGGACATCGTTGATGTTGATATTTGACCTAGTAGAAATACACAAGCAAATGCTTAGGTCTATTCATTTTTGATATGCTGCCATTATTCAATTTCAAATGCACAGGGATAAAGTAAAGCCAAAGCAATGTGGTGGTGGATATGAAAGAGATATTTTTCCTTTTCCATGACTTAAAGGTCTCCTATGCACAGACCTTTGGGCCGACTTGAGTAACAAGTAGAAACATTTCATCTGTTATCTACTGACTAAAGGAAAAAGCTTGATTAGCAACATTTTTGTAACACAGGCATTTGATTCACATGACACTACTTTTCCAGAAAAATGTACAGAAGAAAAGAGAATAAAGAAAGACTGTAGAGTGGTTAGATGATTTTTCATACACACGGATCATGCCAAGATCTTCTCAGTCAGTTCTTCTTGAGAATTCACTAAAGCACATAGTTAACATGAAATACAAAATTACAGATGGTTGTTTTGAAAGTTGATATGGATTAATCAGTAGCCTAACTTACGGGTTGAGGACGTCAGGCCCTCGACCTTCACAAGCTATAGGGTTAAGTTCATCCTCTGGAAAGGCAAACTTCATGTAGTTATCATATCCGAAATAAAACATGTCTCGCGCCATTCCCCTCATTTTCACTTTCAGCGCGTCAGGGAAAGAGCTGTACTTTCTGTCATATTCATCTCTGCCCTCCTGAAAGAAGCTGAGATAGGACTTCTTGGGTGAATCCCCATTAATCTTGGAGCAGGTCTTTGCTTGAAGGTTTCTGTGGTCGTACACTTGCTGTGGCCACTGGTTAGTTTTGACGGTGACTCTCTCGCCATCATTGAGAAGTTCAATTTTATGCAAGTTGAACGAGAATTTAATGGGGAAGTCAAAGCCCCAGCTGGGTCCCAGTCCAAACACTAGCCACACCGCGCAATTTAGCAGCACTCTCAAAACAAGAAGACCCACGACTATTGACCTCCATTGCATCTTTGCCTGCTGTCGTCCTTAAAAGACATAATTTACTTCGACGTTGCGACTTACCAAGGCGCAAAAGTCAACAGTTTTCCTCCCGCTTTCAGTTCTCACACACTTCCTGTCAACAAACCAGCCCATCCCTGATCCTCAACGCTGATTGGTCAGCCACCGGGAACGTCATGAGGAAGACGGCGAATAGTTGATGTGGGCGTATACTCACACACGCAGGAAGCGGCGGAGATGTCGTGGCAATCCTTTAAGCCAATGAGAAAATCACATGTGTGAAGTGACGGAGTTCATAAAAGTCTTATCTGTATGTTCACTTGTAACTACTGCTAAAATTTACCATTACCCCCTCCACTACCACTATAACCTAATAATAATACTAAATGTTACAAGTAAAAAAGAAAATAATTTTAGATTTTTAATTTAACTGTTAATATATATATATATATATATATATATATATATATATATATATATGGTTAACATATATATATGGTTAACATTAACATCAGGGACCTACCATGAAGCTGGTTTAGGTGGCTAGCCATATGTTTTAGTTTTGTTTGTGCCAACCCTGGGTTTTAGGCACTATGAAAGTGGTTTGGTTTTAGCAGTGTTCATCACTAATACCGTATATTTATTATAAATATTAAATATTATTGATATATAATTATAACAAATACAATTAATGATATATATATATATATATATATATATATATATATAATTATATACTTTTATTCTATTATTTGAAAACTTGAGATCGCATATAGTATTTATAACATGCTTAACTTTAGATTAGAAGACTACTTGACTGACCACACCATTAAAAAAAAAGTAAAAGAAATCAACCACAACAATGCAAGATTCCTCCTACATGTTGACAATCTATTTATTGGTTCATCGTATTTACAAAAGTGCATTTATAATAGTGGGGTTTCCAACATTTACCTCTTCTCACAAATATTTAGTTGATAATGACAGCAGTACAATAATCTACCTTAAAAAGCATGCCTTCTTCGGTTGTTGCAGTTCAAAGTAAGCAGTCTTGATCCAATCTAGTTCCAGGCAGGCACACCTGGTATACTGTATAGCTTGAGGGACAGAGACACTGCACAAGGCACTTTAACTTCACCTACTCTTTCTCTCAGTTCATGAACAGGATTCAAGTCATCATTAACCTAAATGAAAACCTTAACCAGCAAAACATTCATCCTCTCTAATATACGTACACTCACGTTTGTAAAAATCGTTCTTATTTCTGATCATCATTTGTACATTTCTGCATGAGCTGTTTATTTACTAGATTGCTCCTCATTTAGATTTGACAGATTTTGCAAGAGACGATGGGGTTGGGGGATGGAAAGAAACAAAAGCAACAGTCCAAATTATATTATACTCTCTTATTAGCATAACCTGACAGACTGGAGAGAACAAAAGGCTTAACACTATATTATAGTATAGATTCTTCTCAGTTTTTCAGTAGATTTGTCCAAGTGGAGACCACTGGAGCTGCGGGGATTTGCAAAACCATGAATCCATAATGTTCATCCGACAGCAGGCTGTAAGAGGTGGAGGAACTCATTCTGCAGGCTAGCGTCTTTTAGCGACTGATGCATCATTGACATGACTGATCCAGTAGGGAAGAGGAGCTGGTGAAGAATTATGGGATCAGACGAGCAGGGTAGTGTAAGGGGAGCGGTACGGAGAACTGTACAGTTTCAACAAAGCGAGCGGTGTGAGGTGGTGTGAGAGGAACATGGCAGCGTATATACAGCGGGCCCTCAGAAGACACTTTCAGCTTCTTCTTGACTTTGAGTGCTGGATTAGCCATTGAAGCGTAATGTCTGTGAGAATCAGGGGACATAACAGTGTCATGTAAGTATAACAGACTAGAAACTTCAAACAGCAATCTCAACTCATCCTCATGGAATGTTACTTACCAATGTTATCTTTTTCTTTGCAGGAAATCGAGTAGCAGCAGATCTCCCGGTCTTGAATAGCTGCCAAGTTCCTAAAGAAGTAGAACATGAAAAAGGATTTTATATGGTATGGCATTTCATTTCAGGCTGACTAGTTATTTCAGGAATAGATGTAAAAAAAAGAGTGTATTCCAGAAACAGGAAAATATAGAAGCAGATACAACTCTTAGCCAATAGATGGCAGTAATTCTTGCAACAACATGAGACCCCCAAACCACATGACCTTTTCATATCATGCAGACAGATGGTTAAACTCTAGTCTAGATATTGTGACTCATCTCACTCTCACACAATTCTTAGAAAACACAAAAATGCTCAATCTGATCCAATGTTTTTATTTTTTTAAATAAAATGCATGAGATACAAATTAGAGATAGAAGATAGAGATAGAAATTAAACTGTGTGGTGTTGTTTTTTCTAAATAGAGCATTCCTTTATAATGAAGATAAAAAATAAATAAACTGGGAAGAGCAGAGCCAGTAATGCAATTTCCTAATTATTATAATTATATTAAGTTTTCTATTATGCTAAGTCAATCTTATTAGCATCATATGATTTGGTAGAATATAATCAGAGGCTATATGAGGCAAAGATAGTCCACTCATACATGATTGGAAGAAATCATAACATTCAATATGGCACCATAATGTTCAATATTGAAACAAATATTCACAAACATTTATGTATCAGTATTTCTCAACTGGTGGGTAACAACCCAAAAGTGGGTCACACAAGAAAAAGTAGGTTGCGGAGAGTGTGGTCAAAGAAACAACAACAATAACAAAAACCTAATTGTAAGTGTTTTTCTGACGCAAGACTTTTATTTTGAAAGACATGTGTTAATACTGATGACACTTCTGTCAGACCCAGTTTAAGTAAAGCGTGCCTAAGAAAAAATGCATTGTCCTGATAGAGAAACAGTAATATACAAAGCTATACTGGTTAACAATTAAATTTGAGATGTAGTAAGTAAATTTTCAATAAACATTTTTTTTTTTTATTTGCACTGATAAATCAATTTAGGTATTGTCGTTTTGATTTAATGTAAACTTTAATTTTAAAAAAGAAACAGGGAAACATCTGCATGTGTGGTGTACAGCTCCTTACATTTTTTCAATTAGCTGTTTCTCATCCAGCGCATTGGGTAGATCTCTCTTATTGCCAAGCACCAACACCTAAAAGATGAAGACATCCATAGGAACTTATGGAGTGAAGATGAAGATATGTTTGAGCAATGATTTGGGAAAGAAACCAGGAAATGTCTTACAGGGATTCCTTGCAACTGTGGCTTGTCTAAAAGATTGTGCAGCTCATTTCTGGAAGCTTCAACCTTCTCCCGGTCTGCTGCATCCACCATGTACCTTTGAGAAAAAATTCACATTTTTAAATTTTTTTGGTAGTGTTAATACTTTCCTCTTTCCCTTGCAGAATATGGATGTAGAGATACTTACACTATTGCATTGACCCCACGACAGTATCGCTCCCACATGCTTCTGAACCTCGGCTGACCTCCTATATCCCAGATCTGCACAATAATCAAGACCCACGTTAGTTTCAGTGTTTATTATTTACAACTAAACTTGCATCTTATTTTTCTCCTGAATGCAAAAAAAAAACCAAGACTCTTAATTAAAATGGACCAAACCTTGATGGTGACGTTGCCTTTTGTGACCTTCCTCATGTTGAACCCAACCGTTGGAATCATGTCTTCGCTGAACTGGCCTGACTGGGGGGATAATACAGCACATATTAACAACTCATGGACTTAGACTTGTTTGTGGTGAAATGTTTCCATTAATCTACCTAAAATAACTTTACTTTTGTTTTGTTTTTTGACGCCCAATGTATTTTCCTATTTCTGTTAGTGTAGGCCTGCAGTGATTGGTACTGTAGTTAAGGGCTTCCCATCAGAAACATTTATTTGATCTATGATTCATATTGAAAGAAACCTCAAGACCGCTCTGAGAAATTTCCGTGGTATATTGCCATTTACTGTACTAATCTATGGAGAGTCTCAAATTCAGGCCATTGCCACAGTCAACTCTGAAAATTCTGTGGCAATATAGTGATTATTATACAATTACAATATTTTGCGATTCTAATAAAACTTCTTGCATTCCTAATGTTAATTCAAACAATACACTCAATCTAAATAAGAAATTTGACCAACCATTTAGGAATCAATCTTTAGTAGTCAGCAATCACAGTATTTTAGTCACATAATAAACACTTATTAATATTACTGACCTGGTTTAGACCTGCCTGAATTTTGAGGCAGGTCTAAACCACAAGACTACCTCTCCAGTTAGGATTAAGTTTTAACGTGGTCTGCCTTTAATGGAAAATTCCCCTGTAAAAACACTTTCCCTTATTAGCTTTTGGCCTGCAAAACTTTCTTTCTAAACATTGGGACCACCACAAAGTACTCTAACACACTTATTCAGTTCTTGACTGCATAATAACTGAAGAGAATATACATGTAGACCTGCTCAAGATTACGTTATCAACATCTCTGGCTGCTCGGCTCTTGCAGCTAATAGTAAACAAAGGGTTACTGAGTCAGCACACTATCTCTGTCTGACTCTGAACAGGGGAAAAGATAACCAGTCCCTTCACACTATCAGCCATCATTACTCAGAAAGATCCAGACAGATTTTGGAAAGTAAAAAAAAACAAATCCCACGGCACACTAATGCACAAACATGCATTGCTATAAATGGCATATTAATCTGGATATTGTATTTAAAGTCAGACTCACATTTAATGTTAAACTTAAGTCAGTAAGAGAACACAATACAGTCATACAAGTAGTTATATGATGTTGTTTGTGACGATAAAACAACAAATTTACATATTGTCGCTGTTTAATTATTTTTTAAATAAATAAATACTGGTTTTGTGGCTTTATACATGGTCCGACACATGCACGAGTCATTATAAAATGAACATTTTATGAAAATCAAGCTCAGATGGAGTTGCATGGCTTTTAACCAGCGAATGACAGAGATTTGTCTGAGGCAGTATCTCTGTTTAAAACAAAACAAAAATAGCCAGAATCATACAGCTGTAGTGGGCGCTTAGTTTTTCGTGTTGTTCATTACATGTGCAAAGGCTACTTAAAACAGTACTAGTCGGCAAACACAACACTCTTCTCTGCTCTTTGAATATATTAAACAGACAGTGCTTTATAGACAGTGTTTCTTGAGTAAAGAAAATGCTGTACTTAATCAAACATCAGTTCTTTATTTACGCTTGCATTGCAAACAAGAATAGACTCTCCAAAACGTGTGTGGCAATTCATTCACAAAAGACAGTGTTGGGAAAGTTCACTTGAAAGTTCACGTTCTACATGAACAAAGTTCAGTTCACAAATTTTAAAATGAACTAGTTCATACCGGTAGTTCTTTATTTTCCGTATGTTGCTGCAAGCTATTTTTTTTATGTATTGTATATTGTATTTTTATCTATCTTTATATTCTATACAACCACGGACAGCTTATTTTATCGGCGGGCAAAGTTTGCACAGAAATGCAAGATATTTCCCATCCTCACCGACCCTGTCTTAAAACTGATAATACGACGCCTCCTCACTGCTTTGTCGACCTTTTGCTGCTTTTTGTTTTGATGACTGGTGGCTGGTGTTGCCAGATTGGCCGTTTTTTCGCTACATTTTCACACACATATATATATATATCGCTACATATATACAGGCCTGTTTAGTGTGTTTTAGCTGGGTTTTCGCCTGGAAGGCTCTGTTGAAATCTGAACGTAGCTAAACTGAGAGAGCGTGCGTTCACAAACACCAGAATGAATGATTTCACAGTAACGTTCATCAGGCAGTAATACAGTCCTTTCAGTTCACGTTTACTCAAATTATGAACGAGTATGAACTATCGCTCAATGAACGCTTTCAGGCACAACACTGACAATAGAGGCAGGTGGAGTTATAAAGTTTGACCGACAGTTGAGGATTCAATGGAGTTACGAGTAGGCCTGCACGATTAATTGGAATTAATACTAAATTGCGCCTAAACCGATCAGTGCGATTATTTAGCTTGTCAGTGAAGCACGGCTCTGTGATCAGTAGTAAAGGCTGCTCCATCTAAAAGCACTGCTTGTTTGAGTTGCTTATAACCTGCATTTGAAAAAGTAACAAGCGTCAAACATCTTTCCAAAAATGAGAAGCATTTACATTGTATCACATCAATCGAGTGTTTGAAATAACTGAGCTAATGTGGTTTATCAATAAAGAATGACGATTTATTATTTTACAGTTTTCTATACAGTGATAGTCTATGTCAATTAGCACTGCATTATAAATAAATGATAAAAAATCATCATGAAAATATCCGAGAAGGCTTCAAGAACTGGAGGGGGGAAAATCGCAGCCTTTGTCATATCGATTACTCGTGTAGCCCTACTTGCGAGGTTTAGTCACAAGCTCGTAAGTCTTTCATTGGTCAAATATTTTTAAAATCAACATTATTTGACCTATAGCATTGATTTTTAAAAATAAAATAAAACAAAAAATATAAAATATAGAAACAAGGTGACAGTGACTATATTTCCTTATATCGTAGCATTTATTTATTTGGCATCTGATACTTTTCCACGGCACACCTGACAACCTGTCACATTGTGTGCTGCGGCACATTGGTTGGGAACAAGCAGGCAGGTGCAAATGGGACATTGAGTGCACAATCTCTCGCATCTCTGTGCCTTGATGAAAACTTAATTGCACTTGTTACTCCATTTGAACAATTAATGAGATACACACTATGGTCACCTCAGGAGATGTGATTCCCACCTGAAGCGCTAAAATGATTACACAGCAAGAGTTTTTATAGAGACGATGGGGTGAAGACAGAAAAAACTATTCCCCTGAATGCTATGAGCCAGCAATTCACTAAATGATGCATAATACAAATTTAGCTGCAGTATGTCTCCACAGAAAACACTAAATAAATAAATAAATAAAAATCGACATGTGTGTGTGTGCAGTCTTTGTATTATGCAGTCTAAAGTGGTTTTGTGTACCATACTGGTTTAAATATAGGCTATACTTCATTACACTAATAAATAGCATCATGATGATCATTATGTCTCTTTACATAGAGGAATTCCTATTTACTAAATGATCAAGATGCTTGTTTAAAGCCACATGACCAACTCCTGCAATGATTCAGAGTTAAGGTGGACTGCCTTGATGAGAGAAAGTCCTATATGTCTGCTTTTCCAAGTCTAGTAATAACATTTCTAGCAGTTATTATCAGAAAACACAGCTTGTTTTTATTCCATCCTATATTCCGAAAGGAACTCCTTGAACTCTATTATGCTGCATTGACCCAACTCACATCTAATGTCAAATCTATATCTCTACATATCAAAGTCCTCTTCAGTTGAAAAGAATGAAAACAAATAAACACCAGAAATATGTCCAACCAATGAATATATTACATGATGCAAAACACAAAAATTGACCAATGTGACCAATTCATGTGAAGTTAAGGTGATGAATCTGACTAGTCTCGTTTTATGAATTCCCTTCCTTCAGCATACTCTGAAGCTCAAGATCTTCTGCATGCCTAGCATGCTTTTGATTTAAAAGAACTCTCCCTCAAAAGGTCAATTGACCTTTTCAGAAGAAGATCATTTTGGAAACAATATCAAAAAAATCCACACGATTTGACAATTTGAGGGAAGTGGTTTCAGAAGAGAGAACTGCAAATATAGGCAACACATGAGGCCAATGCTTACACTGAACACTTCAGCCAACAACTAATGCGCCCTAAGCATTTTTAGCAACACAAATAGCATTTTGAAAGTTGGTATACCACATTGCATTCAAACATTTTAACCTTACAGTGTCTAGTCTTCTAACATGGTAAATAAAAAAAAAATAAAAAAAAACAATGAACAACTGTGACAACTTAAGCACATTTAGCTTACTCGTGCACCAAATCACATGATGGAGGACGTCACTTGACTAGGAAGGAAGAACTGCATTAAAATGTTTGTGAATCTTGTGACTAATGCCAGAAAGTAGAAACATAACGTACAGTGCTTGCAAGAACAGATAATGAAAGTACTTGTTAAATTGGGATTAAGAATTATCTTGCAGAACAAGTACTACAGTACATGCTTGATTCAGAGTATGAGGTTATATATATATATATATATATTTTTTTTTTTTTTTGCCTCAAGACAAAGGAGGTCCAGTTAGACACAGGGGATGTGTCTAATCAACAACATAACACAATGCAATGCAGATAAAAGAAGTATTATTTGGAATGAATTATTAGTCACATATAGGATTATGCAATTAAAGAGACAGTTCTGTTGAACACAAAAGATGATATTTTGAAGAATGTTGTAACTAGACAGTTGACAGTAGCCATTGACTTCCATAGAAAAAAAATACTATGGATGTCAATGGCTAATGTCAACTGTCTGGTTACCAACATTTGTTTATTTTAAATATTTTCAAAATATCTTCTTTTGTGTTCAACAGAACAAAAAAAACTCACATAGGTTAGGAACTACCAGAGTGAGTAAATTATGACAGAATTTTCATTTTTGGGTGAACTATCCTTTTAATACTACAAGTATAAAGTTACACTGCCTTTCCTGTATATGTACAAAGATGAAATCCTGATGAATTTTTTTTCACATTGTTGGTACATTGTTAGTGTTACCATGTACTGTCACTTGCTGTTTGCAGGTAAGCAGTAGTATACATGTGTTTATGATGATTGTGTTATATTTAATTGTTATTATAAATAGTAGCAAGTGGGTAAATTGCATGGATGATCATTTCACGTCAACTGATCCATATATATATGTGTGTGTGTGTGTGTGTGTGTGTGTGTGTGTATATATATATATATATATATATAAGACTGATACATCTAGAGCCTTCACGTCATCATATTTACAAAAAGTGTTGTTGATTTCTTGTATAACATATTTTTTATTATAAAAACGACTGAGTGCACCCTGAAAGCTGAGAACACCACATTGGGTTGTACATTCACATGCTTGGAATAGGAATACATAACACACCCGGTTTGTTTCACAGAAAGAAATAGTTTTAGAAATGTAGTTTTCTCTCTAAAACTGTTCAAAAATGTTGCAAAAACAAAACTGTTCCAGGGTTAAACTGAGCTGACATTATAACAAGATTATAGGGTCTAATATATGTGTACGTGAAGCAAATTTCACAGAATGTAACGTTATACGGTAAACTGTCAACTGCTGTCAACACAAACCATCGCCTACCTACGCAATCAAATTATTGATGCTCATCTGGGAGCTAACGTTAGCCGGTTAGCTTTCCCAAAAACGTTGATTTACAAATTGAGTTGGTCTTTTCAAGCCGTTTACTGTGAATTTCAGCAAAATTAGCTTCATTGTCTGTTAGTAAAGCAAGTATGTTAATTGTCTGTTGTACTAGACTGACATTCAGACTCTTAAATTTGTTAAACTTAGCTCATGCTAACCGCAGAAATACTCACCGCGATTACGTTAACAAACGTCGTTTTGCCCGAATATTGCAGCCCGACGAGGGTTAATTCCATTTCTTCCTTCCAAAAGAGAGCCTTAAACCAGTCCAAGAGGCGGTTAATGAGTGCCAACATTTTGATGTAAGATTTTTTCAGGTCTGAGTTGGTTTGGGCAGTTTGCAATGTTTTTCACCACTAGAAACGTAATGTAGTGTTTGGGAGGAACTGACCGCTGTCATATGACTGACTGTGAAACGTTTGCGAACTGAATGTGTGTTCATACGCGTTGAAGCTGCGCCACTTATGCGCAGGCATGTGCAGTCAGCTGCGCCACTTATGTGCAGTAAGACACATTTTAGCGAATCGGTTCCTTCGAAAAATTCGTTACAAAAGAGCCAAAACAGTGATTCGTTTGTGTCATAAGCACAGTGTGGCATTTTACAATCTCAACAACGTTAAAACAAAACCATATGTAGGCTACTAGGCACATACTTGTCTTTTATTGTTTTAATTTGTCTTATAAGTTTGAAACTAAGAATGATCAATGTGTTATATTAATATTGGTTAATGTTAGTTAACGTAAAAACAACTAAAACAACTGTTAGTTCAGGACAAGTTTGTTAGCTAAATATAATAACTTTTAAATAAAAAATATTAAAAATAACAAAGATTAATTAAATAGAAGCATTTTTAATTGTTAGTTAATGTATAACATAATTAAAATGGAACCTTATTGTAAAGTGTTGCCACTTTATTTTAATTTCACATGTCAGTTCAATGTATTGTTCCCATTATAGGCTACAGCTCATAAAACTTAGAACATAAAACAAAAAAACAGTTACAGTTCCTTTCTAAAAAAAAAAAAAAAAAAGAAAAGAAAAAAAAGTCTTTGCACATTGTAACTCTAATGCTGCTAATGACCATAAATTAATAACTGCAAATAAACCAAACAAATGGCAACAAGATGACGTGTTGTTTAGCAATTAAAAGTATCCAAGTGATGGATTTTATATCAGAGAACATAGTGCATATTGATACAATAAATATAATGAATAATAGATGTGTTTGACAGTCAAATAAAAACAGATGTGAAAGTGAGACAACCTTCCTTAAAGCAGAAATAGCTGCAAGCAGACAAAGCAAACTATACAGGTATGTCATATTCACACATGTGATCAGAAGAACATTAATAAGACAAACATGAAGCATTAAATGCTGGTCGTTGTGCCATTTATTCTTTGGTGCTACTGTACTAATAAGACATATTTCTCTGTTCATTACCACATACCAAAGATTTTACCTGTTAAAAAAAATACATTTGTAATGTTTAATTATTACTTGCTTAAAGGGGTGGTTGATTGCGATTTCACAGTGTGTTATGTTGCTGTTGGCCCATGAACATTATCTGCAAAGTTGCAGCACTGAAAGTTCAGTGTAAGCAGAGATATTACAAATCTTTTAAAAATCAGGAAGTTTAATGCCTACAAAAACGACTCGAATGAGACTACAATGGGTTTTATGTAACTAACCCATACATTAGCATCAACCCGCCCTCCGGAATATGCAAAAAAGGGCATGGCCATACTTCTGCGGCTCGTCGAAAGTGTGTTATGTTCATCCAGCTGTCAGGTCTTCTGTGTTCGGGCTTCCCACGGACGTTGTAGTTCGTCAACAATGGATACAATTTATGTTTGATTATGTTCCTGAAAATTACAATCGTAATAGCTCTTTGTGCTGCACATTTTACGGGAGACAGCTTCCATTATCTCCACAAGTTCAATGCCGGATTCAACAAGAAACTGTTACTAAAACATGAAGCAGTTCCAACTTTAAAACCAGAGGCAGCAGTTGTTGGGCCACAACCTGTAAGTAGGCTAAGACTTCATCATTTTAAATGTATTTGCATGTATAATTTCAGATGTAATGTTTTAGTTTTATCAAATGCAGCACTGGCTTTATAGCCACTTAGTTATGCTATTTTGTGTCTACGACAAACGTGTACAAACATTTTGGACCTGAATTTGTTAATGTATAATTTTGTAAATGTATTTTTCATGTACACACACACACACACACACACACATATATATATATATATATATATACACTTCATGACGTTATTTTTCGATTTGATCAAGAACGTAAACCAATGCCAACGCTGTTTGTAGTAGCCAGTCAGTTCGATGCTATTGTGGAAGATAAACGTGTATAAAGTTAAAACGTGTATAAAGTGTACAAACGTGTATAAAGTGTAATATATATATATATATATATATATATATATATATATATATAGGCAAATTACCATTCCGAAACGTTTTGTAAGAGCTGTGTTTAGGGAGGTTCTGCTTGACTCTCTTCATCACCGCTTTCTGGGTCTGATTCTGGCTCATACTGATACTGCAGTTTCAACAACATTATGTACCTTTGACAGGAACATATACAACTCTCGCCCATAAAGGTAATGGGTGTGAAATATCTGGACCACGTGCACTAAACGGTTTGGCCAATCACAACACACCGGCCCAAAATAACCAATCTGAGCCGTTTGCCTGTTTCTGAGGGAGTGGTTTCATAGAATCAGGATGTAAACCGGTCGTTCAAATGACAGAGGAGAAAGCGGCTTACAATAAAGGTGAAATTTATGAAAAATAAGACTTAAAAAAAAAGAAAAACCACAAATACTTGTTATATTGCACCCCATAAACACAATCATGCAAAGAAAAGAAGCAGAAAACCACCCCTTTAAATATATAATTCACTAACTGTCATCTGCTCTTTCCTAAAATCTGAAAAGCTGCCCTTGAAAGGTTTAACACTTACAAGATAAAGTTAACAGTATATCCTGACTCCTGAGAGCAAATGATCCATCGAGGCAAAAACAAACGAGTCGTCTTTTCCTACTACTTCAGCTCAAGTCAATCTGTTTTGAAACTGAAGACCATGTAGATCCATTCAGAGTAACAAACCATAGATGTTATACTGCAAATGGAATCCATTCTGTTGTTCTATGTAGATAGTCTGTTCATTGGGTGTTCTTCACATCACAAAGAACATTCAAGGAAAACTGTTGACGTCACACTTGCTATATTCTTCTGATCCCTCCGTCTTAGAGTCAGATCCATCACCCATTTCCTCCTTGGAAAGTTTGCAACTGCATGTATCTGAGGGCAATACATGTGTGCACGGTTTTCTTACTGTGGAAAGATGCGACTATATCAGACATAGGAATTTAATTTACATCAAATAATTGCATATTATATACAACAACACATTTTGGAAATGGTAACTGTTAGCTTATCCAATTCTCATTAGTTGCTTATTAACATACTATTGGCTGTTTATTAGTACTATAGAGTAAATATTAATGGCGTATTGTGCATGACCATATTTTTACATCCATTAGTATCCAATTATACCAAAACTTAGCAACTATTATACTAATTATTAATAAGCAGCAATTAGGAGTTCAATGAGGCAAAAGTTATAGTAATAGTACAGTCTATGGTTCCTACATGGCAACTAAAGGGTTGACTAAGTAGCAGCAGAAACTTACTACATATATAGACAACTAGAAATCTGACAAGCATGAAATTGTTACTTACATTTTAGGAGCATCTTGTATTTGTAAATTTGGAAAGCAATATACATGATAATAATGAAGCAAGTCAACGCAGTGACTATTAAACAGGCCACCATGAACGGATGAGACTGGACTGGATTTTCTTGTTTGCCTGCCGAGTTTGGAAAATTTAGAAGAAGTACCAGGGTTGTGTGAGAAATACCTTGTAAGATAACTATTTCGCATATGAGCATGAATAATTTAAGAATCCTCCTCAAAGTCATCAATAAATGCATTGATAATATATTGAAAATTAACTTTGCCATCAAATTAATAAATAACATTTTAAATTATATTAAAATAGAAAGCAGATGAGGATAAGAGATTTCTTTCAAAACCATTACAAATACTGACCCCAAACATTTAAACAGTAGTGTATCATAGGCCTATATTTTTAATTACAAATATGTAATATGAATGGAAATGGAACCCCATAATGACAGTATGTGTTTTAGTAGTAAAATGTACAAACCAGAAGATACACATCTTGCATTGTTGGTCTTGTTTCCAGGGATCACAACACCAACACACCTGATTGTGAAACTCAAGTTAACACCTGATAAACAATCTCAAGGCATTACTATTATTTTAAGAACTTCAATGAAATGTAGCAAATACAAAAATTTACTGTGTATTGGGTTTACACGTGCTGTCCTCAGCATCATAGTAAGAGTAGTTTTGACATGCTGCCATACATTTGTAATTGTAATCAAATTCACCTGTCAAAACACCAGAAAAAAAAATGCAATTGAAGGATTTAAAACAGTTTCATGGACAGTGTTGGGTAAGTTACTCTAAAAAAGGAATTCATTTCTAGTTACTAATTACCTCTTCAACAATGCAATTAGATTACTGTCCTAATTACTTTCTCTAAAAAGTATTTAATTACTTATTACTAATTACTTTCTAAATCCATAAAACCTTAAACTTATGCTTATGCTTAAACTTACCAAACAATTTAAATGGAGAAGGTTACATACTTTTTTACACCAGACGATACATTTGGATGTTAAACCCACTATTGTTTGATTTGGACTTTTTCTAGTTTATACCAGTGGTCATCGGTACTCCAAACATTTTGAATGTCTCCCTTATTTATTTCACATCTGATTCAATCATCAGCTCGTTAGGAGAGACTCCATGAACTGAACTCAGTGGGTGCTTCTCATTTCTTATTTGTGCATCCTCGTTTCCTTTCCTTGCTTCCTTTCCTTGCGTCTCAGCTCCACCCCCTGTAGGACGCGAGGGAAGGAAGCGAGGAAAAGAAAGGAGGACAGAGGAATCGAATAAAAGCTTTTTTATATACATTGGAATATTGATCACTCAAGTGTCACTCCACAGTGTCATCAGCAGCGCTAAAAGGATCTGCGCTTATGTTGTTGAAGTTTGGTTAATAAATTCATAATAAATAAAAATAAAGATAGGCTATACTGTTGAAATATCTGAGATGTGTGGTTTATATAAACTGCAAAGGTAAAGTAAAAATTAAAATGATTGTGACCGATGTGAAGGGGGAGGAGAATTGACACATGCGTCACGTTTAGTCAGTATAACAGTTCCGTGTAGGATGCACCTGTGTATCCTCGCTTATGACTCCTCAGGAAGCCTCCTCACTCCTCGATCCTCGACTCCTCACGGTGCAATTAGAGAATTGAAATGTCCTTCAAGATGGCTGAGCTCGATTGGTTTCCGGGTCATAGGAGGGAGGACGGAGGAGGCGAGGAGGGATATTGAGAAGCACCCATAGTGTCAGATAAGAGACACAAACAACAAGTCCCGAGGACTGGAGTTGAAACCCACTGGTTTATACCAGTCCAATCTCATGGCGTTACATACGTATTTTAGAGGGTGGTTAATTTTTATGAATTTGTACAAGTGAGCTTGTGCGATTTATCCACCTCATAAAATGCATACGAATTACCGTGAGATCACATTGGTCAATGCACAGTTTGACCCTGAAGAAGACGCATGGGCGTCGAAACATTCATTTTATTAATAAAATAATTTAAAAGGTTCTGCACTCCGTTTCTGCTCCTTGGTCTTAACTTAGACCTTTTTTTTTTTATTTGGTCGATCCACAGTATTTAACTCAATTTCTTCGGAATAGTAACTGTTATTAAATTACAGAAAATTAAAGAGTAATCCCTTACTTTACTTTTCTGAGGGAAAAGTAATTCAATTACTTAGTAATAAGTTACACAAAACACTGATCATGAATCACTTTAATGTCTCTCTGTCCTCATGCCCTCTACACACTATGGCCATTAGAAAAGCCCCCAGGAAAGACACACAGAGAGGAGACGTGTCATTTGTGTTTGATTAAATAAATTAAGAATGCCTTACCAAATCTCTTCATTTTATGTCCAGGTGTACAGCTTTTTCTTTTCTCACAACTGCTGCAGTCTTCATTTAAGCACCAACCATTATTACAGAGACATTTGACCTTTTCCGAAGCATGGTTTGGTGGACATTTCTCACACACTATGCCACTGTTCCCTTGCCATGGTTCTTTGGGATGCTCACCTGTCAAAACAAGTTTAAAGTAAGTTTGAGCATTTCTTACTTTAATATTATGATTGTTATGATGAATGTTATGATGATATTATGAGTTTCTCCATAGGGTTCAACGAGGGAACTCCATATGATGTCTCAGGTATCAATTATCTGTAAAAGTGTTTAAATAAATATAATTTAATAATAATGCTATTAAATATAATGCTAATAAAGCTGTAACTCAAAATATAGATATATAAGTTCAAAACATCACCAACTTGAACAATCTAAATGCAATAATCATGAATAAAGAATAAATTACAACGTTTATCATAGTCTTCAGAATATCGGTAACACTTTACAATAAGGTTCATTTATTAAACATTAGTTAATGTATTAACTAACATGAACTAACCATGAGCAATACATTTGTTACTGTTTTTGTTCATCTTTGTTAACGTTAGTTAATATAAATACAGCTGTTCATTGTTAGTTCATAGTGCATTAACTAATGTTAACAAGATTTTAATGAAGTATTAGTAAATGTTGAAATTAACATTGACTAAGAATGAACAATACTTCTTCAGCATTTGTTAATCTTTGTTAAAGTTAACTAATGTAGTTAACTAATGAACCTTATTGTAAAGTGTTACCAGAATATCATACTTACCCAAAGGGCAGGCTTTTATACATGTGTTTCCAAGTTCATACTCGGTGGCCCAGTCACAGTTTATATCCAGACACGATATCCAGCTGCCACAAATACAGAACAGTGTAAAACAAAACCAGAGCTTAGCAGTGTCCATTGTATCACAGCGGTAGATTGAGAATTGTTCTCTGTTTTCATTTCTCAAGTTATATAGTCTGACGTTACACCCACAAAGCAGAGGCGTGAGCATGACGAGGAAGAGCGAGGTAAAAAAAAAAAACAAAGTGCCCTGAGAGTGAGAGCAAGCAAAGACATGTAGCAAGATTTGAATTTCAGTTCTTGTACTCAACTCACTGGAAATCTTTCCAAAGAATTTCTTTAGAAAACATGAGATCTTATGGGGTGGAAGAAATAAATGCTCCTGAAAGTCCTTTTAAGGACAATGTATTTGATGCTGTTATTGGTTGACATGGAGAATATGGCTGGATGTGGATATCAAATATTTAATTAACAGTTTCATAGGGCATGATGTTGTGGGTCATCATAGTCAATCCCAAAATGAAATGTCATGATGTCAACATTTACTCATGTTGTTTCCAAAGTTTGGAGTTTTCTTTCTTCTGAGGAATACAATGGAATAATGTATGTTAAAGTAATTTATTTTTATTCAACTTTTATTACGCACTTACACATAAAGGCTATTTATTGGCATCTGTTGTTCCATGAAGAACCTTTACATTAATGTTCTTCGTACTGAAAAAAAAAGTTCTTTAAAGATCTGTTCACTGATTATTCTATGCAACAAAAAAACCCCTAAAATATTAAATTCAGAATATCTTTTGTTATGTTCTTTAAAAAAATGAAATCATTCCGGTTTTATCATGACGCAGTCAATAGGGAAGAGTTAACTATTATTCTGGTGAACCATCGTTCAACTTCTCTTAAATGTCAGCAAAAGTCACAAGTACACACTGCAGTATAGCAGTAAATGGCTGATGACCCTCTATAATATATTAAGGTTCAGTTGGGTCAAGACCAACCAGATGGTTTGGTTGTGCAAAATGCACTCTAGCTAGTGGACAATGTCATGATGATAAAGACATTTGTGTACCTCTGTGATGGGTTTGGCAAAATATTAATTGGGCCCCACCAAAAATTCATAAAGAAATAAAAAATAATTGAGGACTTTTGCCACTTTTTAATTCAGAGACCTAGACATAGATGAAGAGATGGAGAAAGAGAAGAAGAGTGGTATCAATACTGAGCATCACGTCCTTATTGCTGTTGAAGCAGTGGCCTTTTGGTTATGTTCCCTATTGGTTGGTGTATATTTCAACGAATCTAGGAAACTTAAGCAAACCACTATCACCAGTTTTGATAAGCATGACTCAGAGACTAATCACTGTCTGATAAAAACTTCTCCACCACCCACAGAAATGCTCTGCTATGGGCAATAAAAACACCTGTCACCAGTGTTATCGAGGTAATCTGCCTAGAGTAACAGGAAGGACCACTTCTTCGGAAAGGATCTCTTAACCTTTCATTGATATGACAACCGCCGCACCAGCCTGAGAGTCATAAACTGTTATTTTAGTGTCATTTGGATTCAATGTGATCTCGAAAAATGGGTTCCCTTTTAAGGAACTACCACATTGCGTTAGCTGCTGATGCTATGAGGACACGCCCTTTGAGAAACTGGGGTCTCAGGCACGAGTACAAAAACGCCATTCAACGGCTGACGCAGTGCAATGATGCGGCAAGGTGCATCACAGTGTATAAGAAGGGGGTGCCTAAGAACATGTCATCAACTTTTGTCTTCAGGAAGTTGCTTATTTGTGTGCTGTGTGAAGAATATAAAGGTAAGCAAAATACAGTAAGCAGCCCATTGAGGAAACTTTTCTGCTGGCTGCTGAGCCCCGCAGTTCTAGCCTTGCGTTTGCTGAGGTTGGTCGAGCAGGGTTATGGGTGGATGCCTCAAGTGGAAAGGAAATTAGTGAATTACCTTTCCTTCGGGACATACTATGGCAGTATTGCAGGTTTACCAGGCAGATCTGCTCAAAGTCCTGGATCAAGGGGAGGGCGCATCCCCTGAGGCGGTCTTTGAACTGCATATAGCCACAGATCTAGCTCTACGTGCCACAAAGTAGGTGGCCAGCTCTATAGGACCAATCCATGATGGTAGCAACAGAGAAGTATCCGTGACTTAATTTGACAGGGATTCACTCCCTGATGGTGGTGGACAGGTTTAGACAGGCAAGAACGCAGTCGGCACTTTTGAGAAGTATTGGAGAAGTACTGTAAGTTTTGAGAAGTATCCATTGGAGGTCTCAGGCCCCTCCTAAATCGTCTATGCCCTGTCCAGGAATGAGTTCCTGGAGAGAAAAGCAGAAGGCTGCTTGAGTTCCCCCTTCGAGGAATGGAGGACCAAGATGTCGTAATAAGAGAAAGCCACACACAGATTGGGAAGCCATACGCCTTATTCACGGGAGCGCCATCTTTGATTTTTAATGAGAATGAAAGCGAGGCTGTGAGGGATAGACATGCATCTCTTCAATGGGCTGTACTGTTATTCAATGTGTTTTCGAATTGTTCTGCTCATGAAACACTGGAAAAATATCTTTTCAAGAAATGTCAGTTGACTAAAAACTCCCGACAATGTAAGCTGTGGAAAATGTAAGTAATCTAGATCTTTATTCAGCTTTTTACAGCGGATGCCATTGGAAACACGGTAAGTCTATCCCTCACAGCCTCACTTTCATACCTGTCATGGCGCTGCTCTGAATAAGGCCTATGGGTGCAACTAAAGCCAAGTTCACACTACAGAATTTTAAGCCCAATTTAAGCCCGATTTGCAAATCGTTGAGCTCTCCGACAGGTCAGGGTGTTATCGCGTACAAATCGCGGGGGATTAGCATGTGATGAACGCTTGCCAATCTGTTAGTATGTAAGAGCCAACAACACAGCGAAGACGCTCGCAGACGGCCCACAGACGCGTCGCCAAGCCCAGAAAAATATGTAGCACGCTAGATATCCAGAGCCGTCGCACGACTCAACCTCAGTGATGTCATGAGCTACAGCCAATCATAGCAAGGAATAGGTTGAGGTCACCGGGTAAATCTTATTTTTTCTTTTTTCTTTTTTGCATTTTTTTCTTAGAGCAAATCATCGCGCAAACAGTTTGCAGCACTAGTTTCTGTCTGACATCCATATTTGCGTGTTGTGTTCTCTTCTTCGCTGGGTATTGGCGCACGTGCAGCTTCGTGTCATTTCTGGTTCGTTTTATTGCGTGTTTTTTCGTGGTAAAACATGGTTTGTAGACAAGTTTCTTTACTTTTATATTCTTTGTTTGACCTGTAATTAAACGTAAATTTTACATTTATTTTTTACAAAGACAATTAGAACAAAATCTTTTCTCATGGAAAGCTAATGGATGCTTAAATATCTCTCTGTGTATGAGAGAGAATAAGATGAATCATGCAAGTTTGCATGTCAGCTATGACCTTTACTAAAAGACGCACATGAACCCGCACAATCATACACACAGCACAAAATATTCACACCTCTATCTGACAGCGTCATGAACATTGAAATAACGTTTGCATCTGTATCTGAGCTTATGTGATAATTGTTTTAATAAGATTTCAAGAGGAAAATCCTGAGATTTCAAGACCTTCAAGTAGATTGACGGGAGCGACAAAAAAAATTGTGCACTGTTGTGTATCAAGGGATGTAAAATAATGACACTTGTATTATGCAGCATTTTTTTTTTTTTTTTTTTTTTTTTGATTAACAGGATGTCTAAAAGGGCCCATCAAAACAAAGTATTCCACATGCATTTACTAGCTGATAGCAAATGAGGCTGAAATGAAATGATCGAATTGATCTTTAAGTGATATTTTCTTCTGTATTGAACGCAAATTATCATAAAAGTTATTGAAGAAAAAAAAACAGATGATGATGTCATAAAGAAGAGGTGGTCTGCGTGTACGTCTTGCAGTGTCATTTTCACGTCTTGTGGTTTTATTTAGAGTTCCCCCTTCTCTCTGTGCAAAGGGTTCACCAAAGCTGCCGTTTCAATGCAGGTGACTGTAGTGGTCTAAGTGAAATGTCACGTGCATGAGGTTAATGTTACGAAAGCATGTCTAGCAATGACACATTTTGTACAGTGTTTTTTTTTTTCTTTCGGTTTAGAGTGTGCGTGCTATTACAATTGATGAGAACATGTACGTCACAATAATTGTGATCACACTGCACATCACAGAGTTAATATATATGTTACCATATATTGCAATACTTATGAATTATACAAGCTGCTCAACACTGTACAAAAAAAAATAATGCAAGCAGTTCATTAAAGCATGAAACATGTACTGAATGTAGTTATTTTTTATGTTAAGCTGTTTGTTTAAAATTCTACAAAAATATGCAACCTTTAATATGCAGAATCAAAATGATTATACTAAAACTATTATTTATAAAAATGTATTTTAATAAATTTTTTGAAGTATGCAATTTACAGGGACGTATAACTGTGGCGCTGTAAAGTTAGTTTTCCTTGCCATGAGCGCTGTAAAGTTAGTTTTCCTTGCCATTATGCTATAGTCGGGAGTCTAAATACATTCGTTTTAGCAGTGTAACCACTGTATATTGTATATCTACCATATTGTGAAATTGACAGATTGGTAGCGCGTCAAAGCATTCTAGAGTATAAATATGCAGATATAATGCCACGTTCCAGGCAACCTGTAACTCGTGTTTTTCCAACCTTATACCCGTGAAAGTGCACTGGAACGGCAGTCAAACTCGTGACTTCCCACCCGTGAACTCTAGAGTGATGTACTCCCAGTTACGAGTTCTGACGTCACATAGCCCGCGAACCAATGACAGCCCCTACTTATGCAGTGTTTCTGCATGCGGTACACGGTGAGAATACACTTTAGGACAATATAACGTCAACTAGTTTTCAGTCCATTGAGTGCAACGATAAATATATACCAAATACATTTCCAAATATACAAATAAAGTAAAATAAAGAGTATAACAGCTTATCTTGCCTCATGCGCTATTTTTCCTCCTCAGTTTCCCACACATAAACAAGGAGTAAGCACCTTTGGCGTTAGAAAATATTACAAACGCGCGTGAGCCCCGTAAGGTCCGCCATGCTGGTTTGTTTACATCTACAGTTTGGCGTGAATGACCTGGAATGCAAAGTC